AGTTTAGACAGTGAATGAGTTTGGTTTGAAGTACATTATATTGAGTAAATGAGTAAGAAATGATTTACTATAAAATATTTAATTATGCTTCCATTATTTTTGAGCAACGTAAAATGATTGAGCTAACGATGAGCTCCCATTCCTCTAGGGGAATATCACAGGTACAACTATCCATTTGGAGCCACTTCTTGGTTTTGAAAACAGCCTCATCAGAATATGAGAGAGTACTTATCCTCCCAGCCATGCAGTTCAGCTGAAGTACTGTGGGGCCAGGCCTGGGAAGAACCAGGAAAGGCAGGATACTCAGCCTGGAAAGGTCAACTGGGGCAAGAAGTTGAACCATCTAAGACCACACTGGGTGTATCCCTGGCAAAGACAAACTGAACATAAGGACAGAGAAGACAAGAATGTTCTTTGTCCTATCAACTTTTAAACTGTCCCTTTATAATGATCCTTGTGAAATAATTATTTCTATCAATGGTCATCTGGTATAGGGGATTTAAGATAGCGGGTTCATTAAAGAGAGTCATGATCACAAATTCATTTAAGTCTCCTTGAACCTGTTTAATCGAAATGATTTTCTGCTACTCTCGATTACAAGCCGAGTTTCCGTGGTGACAGATTAATGACTGATCCACTAAGCCATACCACCTCTTTTGTCACCAGCCCCACTGACTAAGCCAGCCACTGTTTTATCAATAAGCCCCACTTGCCCTTGAAACTCATTATAGCTGAGATGTTAAGATCAAATGAGCTGATCAGATGCTTGCTGCCACCTTAGTTCTGCTACAGAGACCACCAAATCCCACAGACTATGTGCCAGAAGGAAAAAGAATGCATTGGTCTTTTGGTTCGTATTAGAATTACAAACTCAGGTCACTCTGCAGTAAGACAAATGCCAGCCAAGCAACACTTCTGATTCTTTGGGCCTGCTAAAGGTAATTCTCCTAAAGTTAAATGTCAGGGATAGTTTCATGTGTGCAAAAGAAAGAAAAATGTTATGTTTGGTGTAAGCAACAATATTAATCAAATCATAAGCTCATTATTAGGAGAAGATAAGCCCTCACATAGCATCTACAATAAGCTGTGTTCACCTGGCTTTCCATCCCACGTTGTCTTAACCTAAGGGTCTTCATGGATTGCCCTCACCCATAATGCAGGAAAAAGTTGCGATGTGACATCACTGAAGGTGCACAATCCAAATCCACTCAGCTCCTGATTGGCTGAGGTGCAGAGTGGGAGCCTAGATCAGATGGCCCATTCCAGCCCAGGCTCCTCCACATCCCAGCTCTGTAATTTGACCAAGAGACTTAACCTCTCAGGAAACAGCGGATGCTAGTAATAGCACTTCTCCCATAGGACCGTGATGAATATTAAATAATATGTGGAAAATGCCTTAAATAATGTCTAGCACACTAAGTGCTCCATAAACGTCAGCTATTATCTATTTCTGCAGTGTTTTAATCTTTTAATTACAACCAGTATATGTTACCTTTCTAAGAAAAAAAAAAACCCTCATTTTTTAAAAAAGAAAACAGAATAAGAAAGAAATGTGACAGTATAAGTTAAAGGATTTCATCCAGCAGACAAGAGGTTACATGAAAGATATTACATTTCTCTTGTTCACCCTTATGGCCCAGTGCCTACCCCATGGTAGACAGTCAAATTATCTGTTGCAATGAATGAATGCTCAAATGGATGTGAGAATGTACAGCAGAAAATTTCCTTGTAGTAGTGGTTATGGAAAGCCAAATACAAATCAGATTCAGAAAAATTAGGAGAATCTTGACCCCTCGACCTCAAACCACAAAGGAGTTAAATGCATGACAGCTGGAGATAGAAAATTACTGTACAACTTAACACAAACATCTGCCTTCTTCATCTCCTCTTCCTTAATATTGTATTTGTGCAGAAATCCAGGCCTCCATCTGGCCAAAACATCCCAATTGCTAGTCCCCATAAAAGAATAATGATCAAACTAACAGACCACAAATACATTAGGAGCAATCATCTGAATGTTTTTACATTTCTCCTGGATCTATAAGTCCAGGCAACAACCATGGATTAGTTTTGAAGGTTTTACTTCTGGAAATAAGGAGACAGTAAGTATTTATGAACCTCGAGCAATAGGACATATTTCAACATGCTAAGTAGAGGCTGCCAGCTCATCTCTGGCAATGTCACACACAGCACACCCAAAAGTAAGGGATGCATAGAGCACACCTCTCACCACATTTATTTCGAAGTTGGCTCAGTAACAACCACGAGTGGCTATAACCAATTCTCTAAAAAGAGCCCTTAGCTTTCAGTTTTCCAAGTTCAAAAATCATTTCTAAATATCTCTCCCCCAAGTTCAACAACAGGAGGAAGGAAAGACATTTTCTTTCACAATCAGTTTCAAAAATTGACAAGCATCGTAACAATAATCTTGGGACACAGCCTTTTCAAAGTTATCAGTAGCTCCAACGAAGCAATTAAAACAAGAGCAAAGAAGCTGGGGCTTTGTCAACCTCAAGCAAGGCCTGGCTCAGTGAAAGTGATCAGGCTGGCCGAGCCACTGTAACATTAACTGGGGCTTTACCCATTGTCCACTGAATAGCCAGTTTCTATAGAAAGCAACCTTTTACTCCCTGGTCCCAGGGGACTCAGGCTTTGAGATTATTCCACGTAAATGACCCGACTGAAGACACTTGGACTTTCCCTAAAAGAGCATTTGGTCTGAGTTTCATAACACTTTAAAGAGGTTAATGACTTTATATTATGTTTGAGCCACTTCTAGTATCAGAATTCTTCACAAAGCATATAAAATGGTTGATGATTTAAGATGTTTGTGATTTTCTGAACATTTTTAGATGTTTGTAATGGTATGCTGGATCAAATTATCATTAAAAAAAAATGCTGCTAAAAGTGTTAGTTTGCCAGCTAAAACTGCTCCAGAATCAGAAAAGCAGTCACTTGAACTTAAAAGCTTTTCTCTTTTTATGTCTTAGACACTGTGCATAAGAAAGAAAAGAAACGAAGAAAAGCCCAATTTTAAAAAAATTTAAAGCTAAACAGGAATTAAGAATGCCATGCTTATAATACCCTGAGACTAGAAAATCATGAACAGGCACAAAAGCACAGTAGACCTTTCCACGACAAGCACAAGTATTTTCAATCTGAGCCAGCTGCCAGGAGAACCAAAGCACCTGCAAAGGCAGCCCTGCACTTCTACTCCCGGCCCAGGTCTCCTGTCTCTAGCAGAGTTTAGCATCTGCCCTGGTCCTCAACTCTAAGACATAATGATAGAAAAATAAAAACAAAAAAATTATTCCTGCCCCAGGTGACTCCTCCATGGTTTGGGCATCTTTTGAAGCCATAAGCAAAGGTAGTCAACACAGGGCTTCTCTGTTCTGAGCAGAAAGGAGATATAGATGGTGAATAGAGCAGGTCAAGCATGGGGCAAGCTGTGGCAGGAATCTCACTGCAGGTGGGGAGGGGAGCAGGGGGCAAATCTGCTGCAAAAGTAAGGCCCCAACAATTATGTATCAATTAAAAATGTTTTAAATGAAATTATAATTTTTAAAAAAGTAAAATACCAAATAACTGTGAATGTTCACTGAAAGCTCCTTTCCAAGAGAAGTTGCCCAGTGTCATCTATTAATATAAAGAGGAAGAAGAGGAATAGAGGGAGAGAGATAAGTCAGTCTCCACGCAGGGCCATGGGTGCATCTGCTCCCTGCCCCTTGGAAGGGGACCTGGAGAAGATGCTCTTTGGAAAGTGTAAGAAAACATCTGAGATTCATTCCATTCCTCAGACCCTCTCTCCCTGCAAGGACTGGGGATCCTGAGAATGGGGCTAGGAGGAATCCAGTAGAGAAAGTTGACACCCCCAAATACCCCACCTTGAAGAGTCTGTAAACCACACCCTATGACAGAACAAGGGGCTCTGCACTATGAATCAAATGATCATTTTTTTAAATATGTGCTGCTAAAAATATTAGGTTAACACCTAAAAGTGCTCCAGAAACAACAAAAAAAGCAGTGCATTTGAACATGCAGCTTTTCTCTTTTTGTTGTTATTAAGCCTTGGGCATTTTTACAATATTTAAAGCCTCTCACTGCCTAGAATTCCTAATGTTAAGTACCATAAAACATGGCACTTTCGAATCCCCTAGAAGGGCATGGGCCCAGCCACCTGGGGCAGCCCTTGAAGGAGCTGGCAGAAGCTCCCACAGCACAGAGGATATGCCATCTGCTGGAAAGACTGCACCAGGTGCCTCTTGCCCTACATCTTCTGGGGCATACCTGGGGAGGGGCAGCCAGCCCTGGGGCAGGAACAGGCAGCATAGGTGCTTCTGGGTGCCCAAGAATCACTTTCTCTCTTCTCAGGGCTCTTCCTGAGGAGCAGTCCTCTGCCACCCTGGCTACCCTTCAGGGCGGGGACCAACTCCACAGGCTGCCTGTTCCCTTTTACCTTCCCCTCCAGAGACCAAGGGTCAAAAACGCCACACTCCTCCCCAACATCTTACAGGCCATTGCATGATCCTCCCCCCAGGACCTCCTCTCCTGCAACACCTGACTCCCTCACCGATGAGCTGGGCTCACCTGCAAACCTAACCTCTCCAGTGGGCATTCTTCTGATAAGACGGTCCAAACCACCGCTGCCCCAGGGAAGTATTTTTCTCCAGGGCTAGGCAAAGTCAACCACCACCCTTAGGAGAACTCAGCAGCTTAGGGAGCCTCTGTCCCCACAGCTGCTGGTGTTTGTCACATCTCGGTGCAGTCACCTCCCCCAGTCCTACAAATACAACACACCTGGACCACAGGTAACAGGCAAGAGCATCAAGCCTTCAAAGTTCTCTTTAAAGTTCTTTTCATGCAAGATGCAGCCCAGGAACCGCGGACGGACAAGCACCGGTGGGAGCCCCCTCCCCGACCCCACCCCACCCCCCTCAGAGGTGTCCTCTCCCAGGGGGTCCCCGCCCCGCCGGGACGGCAGCGCCGCGGGCGGTACTCACGTCTCGGAAGCGGTTCCAGTACTTGTCCCGGTCGTACTGGGAGACGGTGCTCAGCCACTGGTCGTTGTCCAGGAAATTGCCGTGGTTGGGGCCCGCGGCCCCGGCGAGCGCGTCCAGGTGCCGGCTCTCCACCTGGAGCAGGCACCACGCCGCGGCGGCCGCCGCGAGCACCGCGGTCGCTGGCATCTGCGGGCGGGGACACGCGGGGGCGGTGAGCCGCGGGCCGGGCGACGGCGAGCCCCGGCCGGGCACCCGGGCGTCTGGGGGACCCCGGGCCGGGCCCCCGCCGCGGGGGAGGGGGTGGCGCGGCGGGGACAGGGTCACCCGGCACCCACCCGGGGAGCCTGCCGCTGACTGGAGACCCCGCTCACGAACGGGGGCTCGGTACCAAATGCGTCACAGGTTAGGGGGCGCCGTCCAACTACAGGGGACCCCCCTCGCCTATGCTCCGGGTGCCCCACAGACCGTGCTGTCCGGTCAGGGGCTTCAGGACCCCCAAAACGGGGAGCCCGCGGCCGCCGGCGGCGCCCCCTCAGACGGTGCCCGCAGCGCCGGGCCGGCAGCGGGGAGACGAGGGCTCCGAGCAGCGGCCCGGGCTCGGGGAAAGCGAGTGGGGGCGCCGCCGCCGCCGGGGTCTCGGTCCGCGGCTGGGCCAGAGGGATCCTGCCGCCCGCCCGCCCGCCTGCGGCCTCGGCGGCTGAGGGGCGCACGCGGAGCCCGCCCCAGGCCCGGCCCTGCCCGCCCCCGGCGGCCGCGGGGGGTCCCAACTACGCCAAGTTGGGGCGCGGGGCTCCGCGGGGCACGTACCTTGGGGGCCGGCCCGGGTCCCCGCGTCCGAGTCGCTCGAGCGCCTGAGGAGCGGTCGCCGAGAAGGCTGGGCGCCGGCTGGCTCCCTCAGCTCCTGCCGCCGCCGCCGCGCGTCCGGCCGCTTTGTGAGCCCGCAGCGCTGTGGCTCCCCGCGCTCGCCGGCTCGGGCGCGGCGTCCGCGGGCGGAGGGGCCCGAGCGCGCGAGACGAGGCCTCTGGCGCCCCCTGGCGGCCGCGCGCTGCCGTGCCGACCGCCGGGCCGGAGCGCGGCTACCCACCCGCACCTCCGCGCCGCGGTGAAGCCAGCTCCCGGCCACGCTGGGGCGGGACGGCGGAGGGGCCTGAGTTCGTGAGGCCGAGAAGCCGGGCAGCGTTACGAGGCACTCTCAAAAGGAAGGTCAGAATCACCTTGGTGGAGGCCGGGCCTGATGGCGCGCACCTATAGTCAGTCCCAGCTCCTGGGGAGACTGAGGCAGGAGGCTCACTTGGCCAGGTGCTGGAGGTTGTAGTACGCGGGGATGGCGCCTGGGAATAGCCGCTGCACCCCAGCCTGGGCAAGCAGAGCGAGACCCGTCTCTTAGAAAAATACAAGAAAGAATCACAATCACGTTGGTGGAAAGAGAGGAGAGAGCTGCTTTAAAAATGAGGATTCCGGGCTCCCAGCCCCTCGCCACTTGCAGAATGGGCATTAGGCCTCCAAGTCTGCGCTTTTAATGAGCTCGTGGTGCTCAATGTGCCCAGGTGCTTGTTGTGCACGGCAAAGTCTGAGAAGCACTGCCTTGTCATTCCCTGGCCAGTGAAGTTCTGCACTGCCTGTCCCAGGCCGTGCACCCACCTGCATCTCCGCATTCCCCACACCGGGCACACTGCTGCCAGTCCCTTCAGACGGCCCTTCTAGCTGCCATTTCTGTCATTTCTACATCCTTGTGTCCCCACATTGGCCCTGTAGGTGTCCCTTGGTGTCTGTTACCATCTCTCCCCTGGAGAACTGGCCCTGGTGCTAACTGCTGGGTTTTCCTCTGGGGAGTGAAGGGAAAGAGAAGGATTAGACTGCGCTTTGGGGACAGCACACTGAGAAGCAGGAGGCGGCACTTCCCTACCCCCATTTCCCTACCCCCATTTCCAAATACCCGTGTTTCATTGAATAGGGCTGGAAGAGATTTAACACCTTCCCCTGAGCACAGGTGACACTTACCTGCCACCTTTCTCTGTACAAGAACACTCCATTCCCCAGACACCTGAGTGCTCTTTTAGCAGAAGTCTGACCTTACCCTGACCCCTCTCCCCTTGACACCAACTTGAGACTCTTCATGATGCTTCCTGGTAAAGACCAGACTCCTGGCTGGAGCCCCCAGGCCCTGCACACCTGGCCCCTGCACACCTTTCTGGCTGCCTTTCACCCTACTCCTTCCCTGACTTCCTGGACAGGCCGACCTTGGGTACAGACCCCAGCGGAGATGGCCTCTGCCTGGGCCATCTGTGAATCCATCTGCCTGGATTCACTTCCGCCTGGGCCACTGTCCACCCCACCACTAAACAGGAGCCTTGTCAAGTCACTCCTCTGCCTACTCATCCTCACTTCTTCACAGAGACTTGCTGAGCCTGTGGACCAGACCAGGACTGCCAGGGATGCTGTCCTTGAAAACACAGCACTTCTCCAGCCGTGAGCTCACTGTACAGGGACTCACTCACCCAGGTCAGCCTCCCCACCTGCTGGAGCCCCACAGGGTCTCATTCACTGGTGCTCCCCGGAGCCCAGAGCACATGCTCCTGGCACACAGCAAGTGCCCAAAAAATACTTTCTGGGTGAATGCATGAATGCCACACAACCATGCCTGGAACCACACGTCTCAGCCGACACGCCAACAATAACGTGTGATGTGGTCTGTACTAAGCTATGCTGCAAATAATTTGGTTGTGTATAATAAACATGTGGAAGTTGGTTATGATTGTTCTTAAAAACATCAGCAGAGGCATGGTTATCCTGACATTACTCTGACTGATTTGCATTCCTAGAAACGTTCTTGAAAGGGAGAGAGAGGAGTGGAGTCACAGCTACTATGTTGGGGACTCCACATCATCCATGGTTTATTTTATCATGGGAATGTTGTAGGTGGGTGTATCAGAGTGGGAGAGAGGTTTAGAAGCGATGAAGAGAATGTTTCTTCTGTTCATAGAAAACCAAGCAAACAGCACTTCCCCATTTCTCTGCCCAATTTGACAGCAAAATCTCAGAGTTGTCCCCAGATGTCATGTTTGTCTCCTCACCTCCAATTTATTCTTCAACCTGACCCTATCTGCCTTTCATCCTGACCGACAGAAATGACGTGGCACCATGAGCAGCCTCATCCGAGTAGCCCTCAATCCTCCCCTACTTGCCGCTGAGCAGTGTCCTCAGGCGCCCCGGCCCCAGGCCTAATGGCTTCCCTGCTCCCCGCCGTCATTCCTGCTCATGTGGAGCTTCTCGGGGCTCCAGCCTTGGCCTCTGCTCTAAGCACCCAAGCCCTTTCCCTAGGTGCTCACGTCTGGTCCTGTGCTGAGATTCTCCAGGTTCGTGTCCAGCCCTGAGGTGTGTGATGACTGCCAACCGCACCTCCAGCTTCACACCTGGCATCTCCTCGGAGGGCCTCACAGGTGGGTCACGCGTCACCAGGCCAAAACGGAAGCCTGGCTCTCCCTCCACGAACCTGTGCTCTCGCTCATCCCCGTTACAGTAAATGAATCCCCGCCTGCACCGCTGCTGAAGCCGGAAACCTGCCAGTCGTCTCCAATGCCTCCACTTCCTGGCCCCTCACTTCCTGTCCATCAGGGAGCTGGTCCCTTCTACTCGGAGCCGTTTCTTTCCCTCCACCTCTGTGGACGGCACCTGTTCCTCTCGGCTGGGTGGCCACTGCAGTGGCTGCTCGACGAGCTTCCTTGGTTCTTTCCTGTCCCTGGCAACCCACTATCCACTCAGAGGTGAGGGCGTCTTTTGAAAATAGAAATCACTCCCTTGCATAAGACCTTCCAGTGGCTTGCCATGACACTAAAACAAAACTTCAGATTCCTTCCTATGACGGAAAAAGCCCTGCGCCATCTGGTCCTGTCCCTCTGCTGCTTCCTTCCCTAGATTCTAGCCGTATCCATCACACGTTTCTGCAAACATCCCAAGATGTGCCCCTCAGGCCCTCCGCCTGCAACGTCCCTCTGGCTGCTCTTCGCACGGTGGCTCCCTTCATAGCTGTCAGATCTCTGCTCAATTGTCACCACCTCATTGAAGCCTCCCGTGACCACCACTCTAAAACAGTCACTCCCCACCGCAGCCACATCAATATTCCCTGCGGTTGTACCTGGATGTTTGGCTATTCCCTTGTTTCTCTTTCTTCCTCAGTTCACATATTAACTCCAAGTGGGCAAACGCATTGTCTTTTTCACTCCTGCATCCATAGGCTAATTGCAGAACCTGACATTCAGTGGGCACTCAATAAATATTTATCCAGTGCTTGAATGAATGAATGTAGCAAATTTCATAACCCTTAATGCGTCCTAAAGTATGAAACCCCTAGCTGGCTAGAGCCATTTCTTTTAGTCCCCCTTAAATCCTTTGTTCTGCAGAGACAAGCTCTGCTTTTCAAGGGGACCTGTCCCCAGTTTAATCAGAGGGCATCTGCTGCTGGCCAAGCTCCAACTTCACAACTAGAATCTTCAGTAACCACCCACCAGAGTGGGGACGGCAGCCAGCCAGAGCGGCGCGGGCAGGTGTGCAGCGCAGGGCCGGCCTGAGCCAGGAGAGGACGTAACCTTGGAGCAGGGGCAAGGAGGCTGGGAGCTGGAGACCTGCCATCAGCTCCGCCAGCGCTCGAGGGGAGAAATGGCAGATTTATTCGGCTGCGGGAAGCACCCGGGAGCAAAATCAATACCGAGCCTTGGGGCTGTATTTCTGCTTTTCATTGGCTTACGCACAACGATGATAACTCCTTGTTTTAACATAGTTCTTATTTCCAAAGAGCCCCACATGTTTTATCTGCGGTTTAATGGATCCTCAAACATGTGCTCCCGGGTAGTCTGAAGCAGATATAACCGTCACCACTTTATGCCGAGGATAGGGGGAGCACAGAGAGGTTAGACGAATTGCTGAAGGTCACAGAAAGAGGGAAAGTTGAATCTAGCAGCAGAAAGTTCTAGGTGTACGCCCCACCCCATTCAGGATGGCTAGAATGAGAATCACCCATTAGGCTGCATGCAATAACCGAGCCTTCGTGCTTACCCATCACCAGCCCTCATTCATTTCTAGCCACAAACTCAAATCTGCCTGCTACGTGGCATCTCCATTTCACTGTCTCGCTGGCAATCTGAACTCAGTATGTCCAAAACTGAAAAACTGAGCTGCATTCCCCAGTCAAACCTGCTCTGCATCCCCACCTCGGGAAAACCCCCACCGCTGCCCTAAACCCTAGTGTCATCCTGACCTCCTTCCAAGGCCCCACTTTGCACAGCTCACCCACCGCCCAGCTCACCTTTCCACCCTCCCCAGCTGCACCCGCTCTTCCCCGCTGCTGGGCCACCACCTCTCCCCTGCACTCCACAGAGCCCTTGCAAGGAGCTCCATCTCTCCTCACCCCATGGAATTCATTCTCCACACAGCAGACAGCGTGGTCCTCTCTCGGTGGCAACGTGATCCCTTGTCTCTGCTTACTGTCCTTCCTCTGCACTCAAGACAAAGATCGGGCACCATACCCAACTCTCCGTGCATCCTGCTAAGCCCAGGGACACCCAGTCCCCCTGCCCCTGCCCCTCCCCCTCAGGGCCACCCTTGTAGGGCTGCATACAGCCTAGACTCGCTCCTGCCTGGCCGCCCTCTCCTGCCCAGTCCCTCCCACCCGTCCAGCCTCAACTTCTCCAAGCGCTCAGAAAAGGCTGCCCGACCCCCGCGGCCTCGCACTCATCACGGCTGCATAACTGCCTCCCATTGCTCTCCCCCAAGACGCTCAGCCGCACAAAGCCGGAGTCCGGGTCTGAGTCTGTCTCATTTGCTGCTGAACTCAGTGCCCAAAAGAGCAGCGGGTGCATAGTAGGTACACAGTAAATATTAAATGAATCAATGAATGCTTGTAGCTCAATGCATTTATTTCCCTTCCATTCTTAGACATGAAGAAGTTCGGGGTTTATGTTGAATATTCT